ATTCCTCTCTTTTGGCTTTGTATCAGTTTTTAACACAACTGGATGACTTGTTAAGCCATTGCAGAAGGCAGCTAAGAGTCAATCACATTCTTACAGGTCTGGAATCATTTGTAGGCCAGACCAGGTAAGGACAATCATTTTCTTTCCCCAAAGTACATTAGGGAATTAGATGGGTTTTCATACAATAACCAATAATGGTTATGTGGTAGTCATCAGGTGATTTTTCTTTGAAAATTCCAGATACATTTCATTGAATTCAAATTTCGAAAACATTCTCTGTATACAGCACATGGGAACCATCAAATCAATCAACAGAATTAGCTCAATAAGATCAGTACATGTAAAATGATCAGCAGCAGAATGAGGACATTTAGTAAGGTATTCCAAATAAAGGAGTTCTCTGTGATGTTATCGGACAGTTAAGATAGGGGACTCTGTGTACTTTGTTGACATTTTTTAATTTCTGTGACAACTCCTGGAATATCAGGATTTGGTTTCCAGCACGCTACCCCGCTGAAGCGTAATACTACCTAAATGGTTCCATTTATCTGTGTCACGTATTTTATATGCTACTTTACCAAAGCGTATGTCCTTGACTTTTTATCCCAATGTTCTCTGTTCTAAAAAGAGGTTTGGACTTCTGGAAAACCTTCAGAATAGGATTGGACAATAATAGTCCAATTATATTTGCACAGGTATTTCCCAGATAGCACTCAAGTCTCACCACTTCTGCCAGGGTGGGAATAAAACCCACGTATTCAGAATAAATAGCCTGGGGTTCTGGAAACTAGTTGTGCAACATTACTGCCATACCGGCACGACTCCCCAATATTTTATATCTTTGGTGTGGTCTGCTATTTTAATGATATTGAGTAAAGTGATCTGCTGGTGGGAAGTGTCAAACCAAGGATTATCAATTCAAATCAAGTGTATTTTTGCCATCATATTTAAGTTACAGTAGATAATGGAACATCATGGAAATATCAATTCCATATTTTTCATGAGTACTTTTAGGGTTGAGGACACCGAAAACTAAAATCAAAAGGGATGCAAATGAAAAAAAATGCAGGTCATCCTTCTCATGGTCTAGAAAAATACAAGTGTGGTCAAGAATAATGATGAAACAACAGATGAAGGATGTTGCTCTTTGGGATCATGTGTCAGCTATCTATCAGCTTATCACCAATATTTGTAAAATTAAGGATCCAGTACAGGTAGATGTGGTGAGGCCTGAGTGCTATCTGGGAAATACCTGTGCAAATATAATTGGACTATTACCGTAGAATCCTATTCTGAAGGTCTTGGAGAAGTCCACACCTCTTTTTAGAACAGAGAACATTGGGATAAAAAGTCAAGGCCATATGCTTTGGATAAAATATGCGACACAGATAATGGAACCATTTAGGTAGCATTACACTTCAGTGGGGTAGCGTGCTGGAAACCAAAGACTGCAATTCCAGGAGGCGTCACAGGAATTAAAAAATGTCAACAAAGTATACAGAGTCCCCTATCTTAACTATCCAATAACATAACAGAGAACTCCTTTATTAGGAATTCCTTCCTTAAATGTCCTCATTCTGCTGCTGATCATTTTACATGTTCTGATCTTGTTGAGCTAATTCTGTTGACTGGTTCCCATGTGCTGTACACAGAGAATAATTACGAACACAATGCAATGCTTCTTTGCTAATTTAATGAAAATACAACCACAGGGTTGATGTTTGCTGTTTATTAAGCAAAGATTGATTAAATAGATTTTGCAATGAATCAATGTAGCTGCAGGGTACTTCTAGTGCAGTGGTGATGTCCCTGTCTCTGGGCCAGGAGACCTGGACTCAAGTCCCAACTGCTCTGGCAATATACAGTAAAAATCTCTGAACAAGTCGATTAGAAAATATCAACATTGCTGCATGAGGGCTCTTGTGGTGCAGTGGTCTTGCCCCTATTTCTAAGCCAGGAGGCCTGGATTCACTTTCCACCTGCTTCAGGGTGCGTCATAACCTGCCTGAACAGCTTGATTAGAAAATAGCCACATCAATGCAGATTCACTTCATCTTCAAGGTAGGATTTAGTGGATTTTTGTTTACTTATAAAAGATTTTTTCATGTTTTTAATAATTCCCCTTATACCATATTGCAACACCTTCCCTCACAGTCTGACAAACCATTCAGGAAGAGAAGCAAACAGAAAACAAAGCTGATTTGTTCTTGGAGGAAAATGTCTTGGGTAAGAATTCTTACCATCTGAGTTTTTCTAACTGTTCTAACTCAGGAACACTTTGAACCGTGTCAGAAATGAAAACAAAGGACTGATTTTAATGTGGGCAATGGTAGCCCCAACTCTGGGCTGTAAAGTCAGAGGCAACGCTGTCTTTGGATTTTTGGAACCAACCTAATTCTATGGCTAACTAGCAGTTAACTCCTAGGAGTCAAGGCTCCAATCCTTAAAAATTAGACCCTAGGTTTCTCAACAGAGGGCCAGCAGCTTAGTCCCAGTGGGAGAAATGACCAATGCACCTGACGAGGGACAGTGTAACTGACGCAAAGCAGGAATCAGATAGGTGAAATTGGGTTCACTGGAGCTTGCCAGGCTGGGCCTGAAGAGAGTGGGGTGTTCCCAATTATTGACACTTGCTTGAGGATTTCTGATTGGGAGGTCCTTCATCCTGCTATTTGGAAAGGCCATCACCTAGGGGGCCAGAATCAGCCTCTGTCTGGTAAGGTTGTATTCAAATTTCCTGACCCCTTAGCGAATTGCAAAGCATCAAAAAAGTGATCGGCACTCCACCTTCCAAGTTCTCTCCCAATTCTATGGATCTCCACCTCACACCACATACCTGTGGGTCAGCTGAAATTCTGTGCAATGCGTGTGATTCAATCGGCTATTGACAGTATTCAATCAGGTATTGAAATCATTAAATTTTGTACTGTAGTGTACTGTACCATATTTGATTTTGATGAAATTTGTGTTACTTTCCGTATTATGATTGTGCATCTTAGTCTCACAATGATGTATTGTTATTTGTTGTTTCTTCCAACATGAATACAAAACAAAATATTAAAGACAATATTTATAGAAGTATTTGATTTTAGTTGCATTATTTTAGTTTTTGACAAGGTCAGAAGTCAGATGACACCAGGTTATAGTCTAACAGGTGTATTTGAAATCACAAGCTTTTGAAGCGTTGCCCCTTTGTCAGGTGAAGTGAGAGAGAAGCACATAGGTACGGAATTTATAGGCAGTGAGACCATTGGGTAGAGAGATCAGAAGATCATACAAATGGTGTGACTGGAGTGTCAACAGGCCAAACAATAGGTCTCTGCAGGTGATCAAGACTGTCAGATGGTGTGAGTAATGTGTCAACAGCTCAGTAACGAGCTAAGGGATGACCTATAGTTCGATTAAGTGAGGCTGGGAGATAATTGCAAAAAATTTAAAATAAGGTGGTGTTGGAAACAAACTAAATGACTGGAATAACACAATAGGTATAAGAGTCGCATGCTGAGGGTCTAACCAAAATAATAAGTAATCTAAAACTGTACAACTAATTAAGGTAGAGAGATCATAACAATTTATCAAGGTGATGGTGCCAAAACAGGACAGTAAGGAAAATTTTACAGATACAGACGTGTGGTGGGGTAACTTGTTGTGCAACATGAACCCAGGATCACGGTTAAGGCCGTCCTCATGGGTATTGAACTTGGTTATCAGTTTCTGTTCAGTGATTCTGCGTTGTTGTGTATTTCAAAGGCTGCCTTAGAGAATGCTTAACCGAAGATTGGACAATGAATGTCCTTGACCATTAAAGTGTTCCTTGAGTGGGAGGGAACATTCCTGTTGGGCGATTGTTGCACAGCGTCCATTCATCCATTGTCATAGTGTCTGCATGGTGTTGCCAATATACGATGCCTTGGGGCATCTTTGCCTGCAGCCTATGAGATAGACAAAATTGGCTGAGTCATATGAGTATCTGCTGTGTACGCGGTGGGTGGTGTTCCATGTTGATGATCTGACGTGTCTTGCAGAGGTTGCCGAGGCAGTGTCGTGTGGTGTTGTGGTCAATGTCGTCCTGAAGACCGGGTAGTTTGCTTTGAAGGATCTTCGGGTGACCGTCCTCCAAGGCAGCCGTTGAAATATAATGCAGAATCACTGAGCAGAAACTGATAGCCAAGTTCCATACATGAAGACGGCCTCAGCTGTGATCTTGAGTTCTCGTTGCACCACATGTGACCCCACCACACTGTTCTGCATCTGTAAAATCTTACTGACTGTCCTGTTTTGACACCATCACCTTGATAAATTGTTATGATCTCTCTACCTTAATTAGTTTGTACAGTTTTGGATTACTTATTACTTTGGGTAGACCCTCGGCATGCGACTCTTCTCCCTATTATGTTATTCCAGTCATTTGGTTTGTCTCCAACACCACCTTATTTTAAATTTTTTTACAATTATCTCCCAGCCTCATTTAATCAAACTATAGGTCATCCCTTCACTTGTTACTCAACTGTTGACACTTTACTCACACTCTCTGACAGTCTTGATCACCTGCAGAGACCTATTGTTCGGCCTGTCAACACTCTACTCACATCACTTGTATGATCTTTTCATCTCTCTGCCTATAAATGTTGCGCCTGTGTGCTTCTCTCTCACTTCACCTGATGAAGGGGCAACGCTCCGAAAACTTGTGATTTCAAATAAACCTGTTGGACTATAACCTGGTGTCATCTGACTTCAAATCTTGTCCACCCCAGTCCAACACTGGCACCTCCACATCATTAGTTTTGACATTTATAATTTACACACATTAGGAAGAGATCTTTAGTGCTGATATTGACACTAACTTTCTCATCCATTTCTACTGAAGTCATGTGGCACATCCTGTATAAGATATGTGGCTTGAACGTCAAGAGCAAGGTGTTTATGAGGATGGACTCATGGTTTTGTACAAAAATACGCTAACAGGACAGAAGAATTCCTGGAGTTAATCAGAAACAAAATTTTAAAAATATTTTGCCTCTATTTATTTGTGAGATGTTGGCATTTTATTGCAAATGAGTGGCTTACTGGACTACTTCAGATCCTGTTAAGAATCAACCATATTGGGTGTGAGAAACTAGAATCACATAAAGACCAGCAGACATAGTTAATTCTCTAAAGGTCATTACTGAATCATTTGGATTTTTATGACAATCCTAAACCTTCAAAGTCAATTTTACTGATACCAGTTTTTAACATTTCAAAATGTTTAACATTGACTCAAATTCTCTAGATGCCATGATGGGACTTCAATTTTCTTAGTTCAGTAACAGATCCACTACTTTCTTGGTCAGTTTGTTCTCTTTGACAATTATGAACTTGCAGAAGTGTGCATCATTCATGGATCTTGAAATTCAACATGAAAAACATCATTGGATGTTCAAAAACATACATCCAATCTGGAAATATGTAGCAGGTCTGGCAGCATCTATGGAAAAAGAAAGAGAAACATGTCAGGTCGTCAAGGTCATTAGAATAGCATAATAAAGAGATATTGACTCACTTGAAGCATTTGAAAGAAAAAATGTATTGATTCATGCAAAGATTATGAGAAAACTGAAGGTGGTGAATGAAAGTTATGAAACACATTGGATCGAGATAATAATTGAACATCATAAATGATTTTTGCTTGCTGCTACATTCTTAGGTTTTTCCAGGTTGCTCAAGTACTTAGATTTGATTATCAGTTTTCTCTACAGTTTACAATTTGTTCTCTAAGCCTTTAGTTCACAATTGCTATTACAAGTATCATATTTATTATCTCTGCTTGATTCTGTGACTTTTTAGTGTATGATCATGTAAAATAAAGTTGTGGACCTTCTAACTTATCCTAATTTCTTTATATTTTTCCACGTAAGTACAGTATATTGTCCCACGACTTCCTTTCACACAATATGTTGCATCAAACAAAACAAAGGAAAAGTTCATAACAAAGCAAAATTCCCAGAACATAAGCAAAATAACACAGACAGAGGTCTTTAATAAATATAAAGAAAGGGAATACTCAACAGGTCTGGCAGCATATGTTTGGAAAGAAATAAAGTTTACATTGAAAGTCAATCAGTTCTGATGAAAAATTATCAACCTGAAATGTTGATTCTTTCTTTCTTCACAGATGCTGTTTGACCTGCTACTTCCAGCATTCTGAAGAAGGGTCACTGGACCTGAAACGGCAAGTCTCCACAGATGCTGCCAGACCTACTGAGTTTTCCCAGCAATTTCTGTTTTTGTTTCTGATTTTCAGCTACATTCTCCTATTATCTTTATTTCATTCAAACCTCCCACACTTTGTTACATTTGTTTATTCTCATAATGTATCCTACCCAATCCAAATTCTGGACCATCTAGTTTGTGATTGAAAACAAAAAGTACTGAAAATCACAGCAGTTCAGGCAGCATCCATGGAGAGAGGGCAACTAATATTCTGAATCTAGACGACTCTTCATCAGTCATCAGTTTGTGATTGGGCTGGCAAGAAGTCTTTTAGATGCAAACCGGATTTCAAAGACCCTCTTTGAAAATAAAAACAAGTTTTTCTTTATCTATCATATTTTTATCCGTGGAATGAGAGCATAGCTGGCAAAAATCCTATTGATCCCATCATAAAGTAGTGCTGAACTGCCAATTTGATGTGATACAATCACTAGGAATTGCTACATTCACGGTACTGTAACAGGGAGTTTCAGTTTCAAGGCAGCTTGGTGTGTGACTTCCAGAGGAATTTGCAGGTGGTCTAGTTTGACCAGAATTTGGACAAGGTATGATACGTTATGAGGATAAAAAAACTGTGACAAAGTGTGGGAGGTTTGAATGAAATAAAAATGATAGGAGGATGCAACTAGTTAAGCAACATTTGCGAACCAAATTGATTGTTTATAATTCTGGACTGTACCTTCAGAACATCTTCTGCTTTTACCCTTCTAGGTGGCAGAGGTCACTGGTTTGGAGTCTGGGTGAGTTGTTTTCTGTTCGTGAGCAAACTGTTTCATATAATGTTTTCAAACACCATCTGTTCATTTCTACCACCAGCAAATATCAGAACTCAAATCATTAACCCACTCCTTATTACGCGCCCATATACTGATGCCCAGCGTTGAGATTAGAAAGCGAAATTTCCGCAATTCCCTCGGAATAACAGAAATAGATTTCAGGGACGGTTTGTGCAAACCGTCTCCAAGGTGCGCGCGGGCTGACGCTCGAGCCACGCACTTTGCGCGCAGTTTACGTCGCCCGCCCCATACCCCTCAGACGTCAACGGCCGCCCTGCGCTGTTACTAAGCGTTTCTGCCCACCTGGTAACGAGCGCGCACACCGCTTTTAACCGAACTGAGCCCCGTCCCCTCAGTGTTAGCTGCTTGCTGCTGCATTTAGCTGACATCATTGCGAGTTGATATTGCAATTGCGAAGAGGTACTTTGTGAACGGGAGATTTTGCTTCTGAAATTTTGCTAAACATTTGTTGTCCTTGAAAGCGTTTTTTTTTGGAGCAGTCTTCGAAGCCGTAGAGAAGGACAGCGGATAAGAAATAGGAAGAGAAGGAAATGGCTGATAGAACTGCACCGAAATGCCAGCTGCGGTTAGAGTGGGTTTATGGTTACCGAGGTCACCAGTGCCGGAATAATCTATACTACACGGTTGCTAAGGAGGTGGTCTACTTCGTTGCCGGAGTGGGAATTGTGTACAACACCAGAGAACATACACAGAAATTTTTCCTTGGCCATAACGATGATATTATCAGGTAGTGTATACCATGCGGAATGAAAAGCGATATTTTACAAAATAATAGACCACGCTACACCAATTGTTTTAAAAATGTGATTTATGCTTTCAACATTAAATTGCAGTTATTTTGTACAACATACATAGAGTATCATTCTTGATGTCTGATGTTTACTTTTTAAGATTATTGCAGATGTAATTAATTTTAATCATCAAGTTTCATAATATTTGATTGCCATCTTTATGGATAAAAACAGTAGAGTATTAAATGTGATCCATTATTTTTATTACCTAATAATTTGCAATGTACATGTCTTTTATAAACACATATGTTTAAGTTCGGATTTCATATTTGAGTAATATTTAAATTATTTCAAGTGAAATTCAGATGCATGTTTCCAAGTGTGTTTCCGTTTTACATTGATTTGATAATTTTTGGTACCGTCCTAACTCGGCTGCTGGTTTACGTAACTTGAGTAAAACCATTGTCTGTTTTAATGTTTCCATTGGTATTGAAAAGAGAGATGAGAATAATCTCTTAAGTAAACAATTAATACTGACGCGGAGGCGAACGAAATCGTTTTACTACGCATTCTCCATAGAGACAAAAGCTAAGCCAAATTATTTCGGAGAGAGGTACCGTATTTGACAGCAATAACTGGCCGAATCTATTTTACTATATTTGTCCCGGCGATAATTCCGCTGCTTAATTTGAAACGTGTTCAATTACAACGATGAGGTACGGTGCAGTACGTTAAGAGTCATGTATCGTGATGAATACTGGTCTTGGTTTTATTCCTTTTGTGCTAAGTGGAACAATAAACGATCTTTATCATATATTCCAATGCATCTCACTTGAAATAATTTTTATGACTTTTGAACACTGCCATCTGTTTCCTTTTTTGCATTCATGTATTTTAATAGCCCTGTGAAAGCCTAGCTTATCTTTTTTACATTGCTGTACTTTCACTACAATGCTGCAGTTATCACTGGCAATTCCCTTGATAAAGTGATGTGTAAAATAAATTGCTGATTTTGTTGAGTTTTTGAACTTAAAAGACATCGTTAAAATTGAAAAATGCGTTATAAGAGGATATATGGAAATAATGTGTAAATATCATGTTCTCCATTTTACAGATATTTTTCTATCATCAACTGTAATTTTCTAAGCAATAACCCCAAATGTTTAGCATGCCATTTCTTGAAATTTGTCTTCCACTTCGTTCTCAAGTGAACGTTCTACTGCTAACATAGCATGCTGTTTTTCTTATTGTGCAGCCTCTATTTGAAATTTCTCTGGGACTGTCATGATGTACAAAGTTAACCTCTAACAATTACTTTAAAACATTTAGAAACTCCATGTTATTGTAGTGCACCACATAATTCTCATTCTACCATTGTGACTACTCTTTTGAGTTTGAGTTTTAAAGAAGTTGTTAAGTGGTTAGGAAACATTAATAGCAAAGAAAGTTGCAATAATTGTATTATTATATCAATTCACAACTTTAATGTATCAGCATAATCTTAGCTGTGCAAATATTTGTAAACCTATTATCCTTGCCTGGAATGCCATTTATTGTTTTGTATATCAGCTTACTTCATACTTAGTATGAGGAGTTTTTGCAGCAGTTGGAAAGAATTACTCATGATTATCACCATAGCAGCACCAGCAGCGTTTTGTAATTGTTAGAATGATGCTCACTTCAGTTTAAAGGTGATCCTCATATTTTCAATGTATAAAAACTGGAAGCTTTGTTCCTGACAACACCAGTTGAATCAAAATTCATACATAAATTCCTTTTAAGAGATTGAAAATAGGTCAGGAACAATAGCCCATGTACCAATTGTGATGTTTTATTAACCTTTACTAACAGTTAATTTATTTACAATGTTTGTTCAGCTG